CAGATGATAATAATGCTAGTACTCATCCTAGATTCTTCTTCAGAATCAGATTCTTCTTCATCTTCAGCTGTAAATGTAGCTTCTGTCTTAGTACAGTGAAAAATATGCGTTTTTTTCTTTCTTACAGGACTCTTGGCAGACTTTGGGGTTTGCACAAATAGATGATGCAGCAAATAAGATTTTTTTTAAAAGGCAGTTGAGGAGCAAAATAAAGATTGAATTTACTTTAAAGGAAAAGTTTTTTGTTTTGCTAATTTTGAAATAACATACAACTCTCCCTTGCCATCAGAGTGCAATTATTATCTGTTGGCCAGCTATGATATATATTTATGTACTGTTTCTTTTATCTCTGTTCATTTGGATTCCAAACCAACAATGAAGAAAACATGTTGTCCATTTGAATGAACTCCAAGGATCTTGCCCTTTGTAATTTTAACAGATTTGTGGATTCCCTGGTGTTTGGGGAAGTGTAAATTGTTTGATGATATTCTAAATGCAGTTGATTAATACTTCTCATAGCAGGATTGTGTGTCATAGCATTTGGCGCTGCTTTGTTTAGCTAATGTCCAGAGAAAATGTTCTGAATAGATTGTATTCTGGATAAATAAGTTAGACATTTAAATAGAAACCAGAATGACTAATGTGGGATATCAAATTCTCTAGGCCTTGCTGTTCTATATATGCTTGAAGAATGCGTGAATGAAAACATAAGCCATTTCATAACCTTGACTTTGCCATTTCATAACATAGCTTTGYCCTGATATTTGCACTGTAACCAGTATGGGTGATTTTAGCATTGATAGGTTATTGATGTTCTCTAGTGGAGTGTCCAGTTCTTATGTACATTACTACACACAATATTACAAAAGTGTGTGGCTTCACCAGGTTCCTTTCACTGAATGAAATATATCTAAATCCATTTAAGGATGCTTTTATGAAAGCACACAAAATATATCTAGCTTGATAAGGCCTTAAACATGAAGCCATTCTTCTAAACATCTTTATCAAAGTGTTTGGAAATCATGGATGAGCTCCACAATATTGAAGAGTTAAGCCATGGCAGAACCTTTAAGTGGCCCCTCTTCACTATATGTTGCAACCACAGCCCTTTGCTACCACCATCCTGGAGCTGCTGTGCTTGGTTTTGAAAGGGAGGCATGTGTTGGAAGAGTCAGCTCTGCCTGTTTCTTCTCCATCTCCTACCTCACTGCTGCCCCTGGCATCTTAAAGCCATCCTTGCATGGGCAGTGTGGAACCAAGTTGCTTCTGGCCTGGTCTTCCCTCTACCATGCTCAGGTTTGGCATGGAAGAGCACATATTTTTACACTGTAAATTTGTTGGGAAGTCAGCCCAACAGAACAACTCAAGGTGCGACTTGCTAGAAACAACAAAGTGAATGTGGGAATTCAGACAGTGGAAAATGTTTATTTTTATGGAAGAGATGGTGGCAATCAATGAGCAAAATTGAAACAGAAAACTTGGAATCATTTTCCTCATTTCTGCCTCATTTAATGCTGACATTTTTTCCTGAGTTATTCATTTCATATTGCACCCGGCTATATATTTATGATATTGTTTTGACTACTTAAATGGTATCAGGATCTACAGAATATAGAAGAACCTTGCAAAGAGAAAGCAGTGAGTGGAAACTCCACAACAGAGAGTGGTAAAATGGAGTTTAAGAGACTCCCAATTTAATTCAGTCTTCCTTACAGCAGTTTTTCCCTGAAAGACAGAGTGGAACTAGAGTAAGGGGAGCTTGTTCTTGCCCTGTCATTGCCAATAGACAGTATCTACATTGTGCAGAAACAGCTTAATTTCTAGTTCTGCCCATTTGGGACCCTTCTAACAAAGGCAGAGCTTTGGGAGGAGAAAAGATGACCCTAGATTCCTTGTGTTCTCTTGGATTTTTTTTTCTGTTTGCAGTTAGTTTTGCCCTGTGATGGGCTCACTTGCAACGTAAATAGAGTTCAGCCAGCCTGTGGGACAATGAGGATACAAACAGGTGTTCTTAAAAGTACAATTTGTCAAACAAAATAAACAGTAGATTCTGGGAGCTTCTGATTATTATCTGAGCTATGGGAATAGGACAGCAAGCGAGGGATCATTTTTCCCTGGAATGCGGAGTGGGGGAAGGAAGAAGGTTCTTTGAAGATCTTGTTTAACCAATTCCTAGACGTAAGCTTTTCCTGGATTTCACTTGGGGTTTTCTGGCTCAGTTCTGCTCTTGACAGACTTTCAGAATATGAGACCAATGTAACATAAGGAAATGCCACCTCCTCCATAAAGGCTCCACAGGTCTTCCTTTTGAGAGGAAATGTAACAAGTTTGTGCAGGGTAGGATTTAAAGAGAAGTTTTTAAATTTAGAGGAGCTACAAATTTCAGCACACATTGAGTTGTATTTCTTTTTTAATGAATAGTGTTAATTAAATGGGCATTCCTTGTGTTTGGCAGTGTCCTTAGCAGGGGAATTTGTCTATAGCAGCATTATGGGTTTGAAGCTTGTTAAAATGCACACCTTGAGCCTATTTGCCCATGGCAAGGAGGAAGCTTTCCTGGCAAAGTGTGATCAATGGCCTGCTAGAGCATCCAGGATTGCTTTTGAAGTGGGAGCTGCTGATCTGTGGCTCGGCGGTAACGGTGCCGATTTGAACAGAGTACTGACAAACACCCAAGGCTCTGGTTTTCCTCCTGACCTGAAAGACTTACAGTCCTTAAASACTTACTCTCTAAGGTTACCAGAACAAGTAAGGAAAACTAGAAGAAATCTGCTGCAGCAATTCTTGCCTTCGCTGCTGAACATAACTAAGTGCTCTGGCTTTCAGTAAGAATTGGAAATGAAGTAAAACGGGAGGAAATGAAGAGCAGGAGGAAACGCCTGAGCTGCAGGTAGAGGAATTCCATAGCACAGACACGTGGGGAGGGCAGCGGCCGAGCTGGGCCGCAGAACAGCAGCAGGCAGGAGGAACCAGCCAGGCCCCCTTTCTGTGCCCACGAGCCTCTGAGGCGGCCTAGGAGAACGGACAAAGCTCAGACCGCCCCTTCCTTTGGATGCTTGCAGAGTAATGTTTTGCTGCTATTATTTACCATAAGGTGATCCAAAAGAGGAAAAATTAGTATTTTTAGCAGGAAGCGAATCCCAGCAGCTGAGCCGGATGCCGCTTTCAAGGCCTGCCTGCTCTGGAGCTCCTTCGCTCAGCTCTTSTATCAGATCATAGCTAGTTCACTGCTTACATCTAGCAGCCATTTCTTTTAATAAAACTTGCTAACTTTAGGAAATTTGCCATTATTATCATCATCGTCTTGTATTTGGGGAAGTTCATTATAAGCTTTATATTTCTAGTCATGATTATAAAGCAAATCTCCCAAATGAGGGAGCACCACTAACCCCCTCTCCTAATAGCTTCTGGAGCAGGAGCTTCCTCAGTTCAGCTAAGAAAAGCAGCTCTGAACAGACTTAGATTGGCAAGATTATCTATCAAACTGTTGAGTTTTCAGTAGAAGGTTTAATGTTTGCCTGTCCCTGTCTGGGAGATGAAATGGTAGATGKAGGTGCAAGGAATGACTGGGGTTCTCAAGTTGCATTCAAGTCAAATCCAGGCCTTCCTATGAGGAGGAAAGGGAGACCCATTTACCTTGCTAAACGTTTAGCTGGGGGGGGTACCTCCAGGCTAGAAAACAAACAGGAATCCCCCTCTCTCCCTCAGTGCTCTTTTGTCAAACAGCCAGAAATTCTGATTCCCTAAARCAACCATCAACTGTAACACCGAAATCAAGCAGGTCAGACCTGGAGCAGCAGAGCTCGCCTCACACTCCCAGAATAAAAGGGACCTCCTTGAAACAAAAGCCATTTAACTCCTATGATCAGTTGAACAGCAAATTAGCATTTAACACTTTCGGGGCCTTTCCCTTCCTGCCTGCAGGGTTGTTTCCTCTCTGGATGCATGCGAGCTGCATACGGAGAGCTGGAAGGAATAAGGCCAGATGGCAGATCAGAAATGCCTTTATTATGTTCTTGGCCTCAGCGTGATTTGTTAAGCGCTTTTGAACAAGTGGCTGAATGTTTCCACGTTTGTAAGCTTATATAAAACAGAAATGCCTACAACAGTCACCTTACAGACATGAATTATTGGTTTGCATGGCATTTTCACAGCTATACATAGTAAAATAATTCTGATTTGCTTTCTAGAGGAAGAGTAAACGGTCTTCATTTTTTAAAACTGTAAAAGTTTTAGGTAAACTCTTCATGGTGATAATCCTGGTAGATCAGTATCGAAACTTGGAAGTCTTGAGTGCATCATCTTATCTACGGGCGTCTTCTAAGGCTCATGTTTTTTTATTTTATGGTTTTCCTTTGGGGGGTGCTTTTTAGGGGAGGCAGTGGTTTTGGTAACTGAGCTTTTCCAGCAATCAATAAAAGTGCATGTTCAACAACACATATATATTACCATACAACAACTGTCACCAGCCAGTCAAGCAGTATGTTTCAAACTGGAAATCAACATTAGTAATACTTTGAAGTAATTAGGATAGGAGGGTTTCTTCTTAAATTGTAAGACCCATAGAACMACTTAGGAAAGGGAACAGTGGAAACAAATCTATACTCACAAAGGAACTTCATCAGGTTTTGAAAGGAATTACATGAAGTTGTTTCCCCTGAACAAGATGGAATTAATGTCACAAAGCCCTACCTGTCCCCTGTTTCATACATGTCTGGTAACATTAGGTTGAGAAACTTCACTCATCATTGAAAAAAAAGAAAACTGTAATACATATAGATATAAAAGTTGCTGTTGATTTTAGGCTTGACTCCATTCTGTCTGACCTCGAGAATTGTATCAGCATGTGTTAAGACTGTCATTTTMCATCTACCTGAACTACAGACTGAAATTATTCTGTTTTATTTTTATGTACTGATAGATCTTGATGGTTTCAAGTAGAAAGTCTCCGCTGCCTGATTCGTGGGGTCTAAATTGCTGTTCTCCTCTGTTCTCTTTAGGCAGGCACGGGGCACCGAGCGCAGCTGAGCGTATCAGGCGCAGAGGTGGGGAATGGAAGGGGTCCCGGCGTGGACGGCAGCCCTTTCATGTCAGACCTCCTGAGCGACGTCCCCTTTGCCCTGGCACCGCACGTGTTAGCGGTGCAGGGCGCCCGTCGTGACGTGCCCGACCGGCTGCTCACCTACGACATCAACGATAATTTATCAAGGTTTTGGTACGACTTTACACTCGAGAATTCGGTGCTCTGTGATCCCTGATGTTTTCTTTAGTTTTTCCTGTCTGTGTCCAAGTCCTAATGTGAAGGTAACGATGTGTTTTTAACAGCTTAATATTTGGGGGATCTGCCACTGGTGCATCAGACGCATTAATTCAAAGGGTTGTTATTTGGTACCGTGTTGTATTTCTTAGTTTTATCTGAAGTGTATCTTACTATGTTCAGTATAATGTTAATCTGCAAAGAAATCAAGCAGAGCTTTGTTTCAGCCCGAGTGCAAGACCTGCTGTCAGTACCAGTTCCAGTAGGTAGCCTGTAGACTCAACATTTCATAACTCCAGAAGGAAGCCTCCGCACTTCTGCATTGTTAGATGCTTTATGGTGATACGACAGACATAGATCTAGTTATGCACGTTTATTATCTTTGATTTTCTACAGAGAGAAGCCCAATACTAGCGCTAAGTAGCACTGCTTCATACTATTGGGCTGATGTATTTCCAGTCAAACTGAGTTTTAAAACTCATGTTTAATTATGTGTGCTTACAAAATTATATAAATATTTAATTATGTGTGCTTACAACATTATATGAATATTTAATAGGAGTGATTAGACTTACCAATTTCAAAGTGGGAATTGGCTGCCTCAGTCCTTTTCCAGTAGATGTTCTGTCCATCTCATTTTGTCATTTTGTGCCTCTCCTGCTGTCTTAAGAAGCTCTTTCTGGCTGCCTGTTGGTTGCTGTTTGTTCTCATTTCCACATGTGTTCCTGATTTATACACAGATCAGCTTTTCCATTTTAACCTCTTTGCCCCCTGAAGAAGGAAATCTCAGGACACGTACTTTTAATGGTCACACCCTTCTTTTTTTAATTTGTGTGCCAGAGATACAGATGGCAATGTTTAACAACAGGAAAACATGACATTGTTTCTTATCCAGCTAAATTAAACAGCTAAGTACCTAAACATGCATTCGCGCTGACCACTGGGTTGCCTGCACACGAGCTTCAAGCCCCTAATGTTTTTTCCAGCTAGAACCCAAGTTCTCACTGATTTAACATCAAGATTTGTTTGAATAATGATCTGTGTCACACAAAAGATCACACTTGTTTCTTCTCGGGGTAGAATATTTATATTATGCCAAATGTTAGTGGATATTTCATATGTTTTCTATGACCAGTGATGGCTTTAAAATATTTATATTTTCAGACATATGTACATTGAAAGCGTTTGAGGTAAATGCTGTAAATGATGGAGAAGATACCTTGTGAATATGTCTTACGTTGGTTATTAAATATTCTTGTTCTAGATTTTTTTTTAATGTATGTATTTAAGTTTGTTACTGTGTTTTTGTCAATTTTGTTCATAAATGTCTGGAAATAATTCTTTCAGGGAAGGTATCAGTGCTGCATTCAAATAAAAAAGCGGTAAAATAATATTGAGTTATTTTTTATGTGTGTGGGGGTTATTACTCCACTTCACCGATATTGTTTGTTATAGTAGTGTCCATTCCAATTTCATGGGAGCTTGAACTCATTTTTATTTAGTTTTTTTTTTTTAGTGTCATTTAGAAATCAGGCTCCTGTTAATCAGATATGTCACATTTTCATCTGATGTCCACTGTGTACTTTGTCTATGTCTTGCAGCTTCTTAGGGCCTAACCAAGTGGTTTAAACCTGATTCTGTATGCTGTGTTTTCTAGTTAACACTTCTCTGACGCGCTGAATTGAACCTTTGTGGTTGTTTTATATTTAACCCTTACACATTAACCCTTTTGAAAGTAGCACACTTCCATCCACATTGTTTTCCATTTCACATCTGGAGTGTTTCTCCTGCTCAGCTGCTCTGGAGGCAGAACTGCAAAGCACTGAGGAGCCAGCTACTCAATACTGGTTTTTCCTTGATAACTGACTTCTTAGTATATAAAAATTCTGGCATTCATTTTGATTAATGTTYGATACTTTATCTAAAAAATGATACCCTGTCAGAATCCTGCCGCTATAGTCACAAACCAATCTGCTGTCCTTTCACCAGAAGAGCCTTCGGGGTGTGGGGGATGCACTCACCCATGATAAGAAATATCAACAGTAGGTTAAGCGTTTGGCCAGCGTTCCTAGATGTGCTCCATAAATGGTAAAATTTACATGTAGCAAGAGTGCTGGTAGTATGTCTCCTCATTTCCCTCTGTTAGCAAGCCCTGGGGCTCATTCCCCTCCCTTGCTCAACATCATCCATAAAAAGCAGATTGAAATGTAAGGCTGTCCAAACAGCRGGGGTGATTTTTTTCCCCAAAGGGATAGGAAAAAATACACTATTATAAACTAATAAMATTTATAGATATAAGCATTTCCCCATTACTAACATGAAGATTTTTCTCAGAATTATGAGAAAATCGAAGATTTCCAACAGTCTTAATTCATGCAAAAAAATGTGTRTCACTTGTATAAGGCATGTTTAACATCATATGCTAAATGATTATTGCGTAGATATGTAAATATCAGAGCATTTATGTAACTGTTGTTGTCAAAAAATATTGAATAGTTCTATATATTGTCACTCACACATTTGACCACTGATGAAGGCATATAATTAATTCAAAAAAATCAATTTACAAGCTATTAAGCTGGATTGTTTAGATAGAACTGAAAGCTATTTCATGGCTGAGATCAGTAACATCAAAATTAAGAGAGGTTGTCAACTGCAGAATTAATAAGACTGAGGACTGAGGTAAAACTGTGCCACTGAAGCACTGTAAATGGGAGCTTTGTTACTGCCATCACTGGACATAATACTCTTTTATTAAATAGTTTGTTGAGGTAGAGCCACACTGGTTTGCAGGAGATTCTGAGGTTCGTTTGCAGTTCTCTAAATTTTACTTGCAGGAGATGTGCTCTGCTTTGTGTGATAGCTTCCTTATGGAACTTCCTAATAAATCAAACATAACAAGACACTTCTTATTTCCTCTGAAAATGAAGTTGGAAGTGCAGGCCTCTGGAAAAAGTCTCATTTTAAAAGGAGAGAAAGGAGAGCTAAGCCCACATGTTTAAAGGTAAATCAAAGAATAATTGCATCCAGAAGAGCCCAACAGAAGGCTGATCGTGAACTAGCCCCTCAAGACAACTCCCTGGAGACAAATTCAGAAATGGAAGCAGACAATGCTGTACTGGAGGTCAGTCAAGGAGATAACTGTGGATCCAGTTGCTGATGTTTTTTGTGAAGTGTGATCCAAACCTCGAAACTGCAGCTGGCCAAAGTACCCTTGGGTAGTCACAGATGAGAGGGTTTGACCCCGGAGCAATGTGCTGGAAAGAAAGCAGTATGCACAGAGCCTCTTTGCTGCAGTAATTSCAGTATCTCAGGCTAATGCACCGCTGTTAGCCGGAGAAACTCATGTGGTCATGACAAGTAAAACAGCCTTCAATGCAGGCTCAGTGGGTTCTCAGGAGCAACAGAGTGAGAATCTTCCATGTGAGAAGCTGCTTTCTTTGTCCCCCTGCGCTTTTGTTATGACATGATGCTGCCTTTGCTTTTCTCTTCTTAACACTAGTGTGCCAGACCTGCACCTAATAGAAGATAAGTCCTTCCCTTCTTGAGTAATTCCAGGCAATTCCAGATTAACCGGATTTCATTTCAAAGCCAGGGAATGTCTGTTATAGCAACAAAGAGGCAGAACTCTGAGAATAACTCCTTAAAATCCCCAGGTAGATTCCCTTTTAGTGCAGAATAAGTCAAGTTGGGTATGTGCTGCCCTTCTGCATCTGCTCCTGAGCAGCAAGCTTGGCGTTTGGCTGGGAGCTCGCAAAGTCAGAAGTAGGTACATCAGGCTTGAGTTCTTCCCATCAATATTTGGAATTCCTTAAACAAAGGAAAATTATAAATCTTCTTATAGCCTCCATTGAGACTATTTTCAGAGGGGGAGAGGGGGCGAGAGGGTGAAGAGGCTGAGGCTTAAGAATTGGGTACATGCATCCTCCTAGAAGACTATCTTCTCCTTGTAATTTACACTGACCTAGGCTTCATTCTGCAGGAGAGATCTGTTTGCATAGAAACTTGTTAGTCTTCCCAGTGTCTGCATCAAAACCACTMAGAAGAAATGCAAGCGTTCATATTTATTGTAATGGGAGAACAGTCACTCTCTTATTCCCTTTATGTTGCCAGTCAGTTATTACTGTCCATAAAATGAGACTTTGATTTTTTACAATTCAAAATTTCATCATTTTCAGATGCCAACACGGTTAAAAATAAATTTAATTTTCTAGGCATGAGCATCTCGCTGTCTGTCTAGTTCTGGAGCGCAGAACTTCAGTTCTACGTACAGATATGTGAGGATTTTTCTTTGTGCTATGTGATTCTAATAAGACTTTTCATTTCTGCAGTAGCTAAAATAGGCTGTAATGAAAATAGAGAAGCTAAATGAAGTGCAGTTGGTTAGAATTTGATGACTTTATCGTTTGATACGTATCAGGCACTATGTTGGTACTGTCCCCTATGGTGTCTTTTTTTCTCTACGTGGAGTAAATAGCACAAAGGTGCTAATGCCTTATTAGGCCTGTAGCTCCTAATGCTAATGTCCCTGTATATTGATGTAATTAGTGGGAGAATAAATAACAATCACACACTTCCTCCAAGACCTCAAAGCAGATATCTCTTTTCAATCTTTAACCCTCCATGTTGTAGCCTTTCTAGACAGTCACCAAAAAAAAGAAAAAAAGTGAATATTCTATTGAATTTTACTTTCAGTGGTTTGCCCTTCTGCAGGAAGGACAAAACAAACTAAGCACAGTGAATGGTTCAGGGTGTAAAGCTTCCAGCGCTGTTATGTAGGTTATGCAGACACGTCGGAGAAGCCTTTTTTCATTCTGTGGCAAAACAGAGAAGGCTGGAAGTGGAGCTGCGATGACCTCAGAAGGATGTAGCAGCTGTAGAACAGAGAAGAGAGCGGGCTTAGTTCTGCCAGCCAATTCAATTCAGTTTTCCTTGCTGCAGAGATAAAATAAACTCTTGAGATCAAAGATCTCATTTACAAGGCTGTCCTCTTAAGTCAGTCAACACATGCACTTCAATAACAGAACATAAAAGAAGCTGCTCCCAAGCAAACAAAACAAAACAAAAGATGAGCCTCGGTTCTAAACATCCTTCATGTGAATGCTTGTGCATCTCGCCRTTGGGGCTGGAGTAGCCACTTGTATCCAAATGTTCATTTAATGTGGAAGGGCAGCGCTGGGCATCCGTCTAAACCGCACTGGAAACGAGCTGTGAAGCAGATGGGCCCGTAAAACAAGGACGCAGGTAGAAAGGAAGGCCGTGGTCAGGGGAAACCGATACTAGACTGGGAAAAGAAAAGCTTCGGGACTTCAGTCTAACCACTGTGTCACCCTGTCCGTGAAGAGGTCTGCAATTTGCCTGTTTTCCATAAGAAAATGTGTGATGTTTTGGGGACTGCTCCTTTTTCAACYGTTTTTTAGAAGCTACTGGTGCATCTGCTTGGCTTATACTGCTCTYCAAGACATTTTTAGGTTTTAGTCAATGTGATTTTGTCTGTTACCTGTGTAGGGAGGACTTTGGTTAAACATTTAATATTTAACTTAATAACTAATTAAAAGGATTTTTTTTTGTTATTTTTGTGACTTCTATGCCTCTTCATTTTGTTTAGCTCTCCTTCAGTTAAATAAATAACACATCTCTTCCTCTACTTGATAGGATGGAATAGATCATATGCATTAAATTTATCTCAGAGAGAACTGCCAAATTTTAATTCAGGTAGCTACAGTATTTGCAGATATAACATATTCGTCRTAGCATTTTATTTATAGCTAAAATTTAACAGGTTTTTCCTCATTTTGAGGTAGCTTAACTGATGTTTGGGCACAGGCAAAAGGTGGGAAGGAGGCTTATTGGCAAAGGATATTTGATTAATAGAGGGATTCAGTAGTTTGTTTTTACATGTTTATCACAGGTATTGTGCAGTAGGTTCATCCACTCAGCAATAAAGTTAACAAAATGACTGTCTCAAACTGAAAGTTTCCATCAGATGGAAATGGCAAAAAATAAGGTGTTATTGAATATGAAAAAATGGAAATAGGCTGTTTTGCTATGGAACTTTACAATGTTTTACAGTAGGAATCAGTATTAAAAACTTGGCTTGAATTTTGCTATTTTAAATTAAAGACAAAATTTACTTTTTAGGACAGCTGTAAAAAATACTAAAGTAAGTGGACAAAGGCAGCTGATGTGTTTTTTGAAGACTTTCTCATGAAATTATCTCTATTCACTCTGC